AGGCTGCTTCTATAGAGCACAAACTACAAAGATCTGACCAAAATCGTTTGGAGAAATTATCAGGAAAGCAAATGATCAGGGTTATGGCATTTATTTTGAATACTTTAATGGTTTCTTTGTAACTGCCTATAAAACAAATGCAAACATGCAGAACTCTGAGTCCCTAAAATATCTTTGCTGTTTTGTTAAACTCACAAATGAAATATACCTGAATATTATATATTTGCAAGAATTAATTCAATTGCGGTTTTAAAAAAATCTGTAGACTCTGATAAACCCACCACTTCAGGCAGAGAATCCTACAGCTACCGTATATACTCGTGTATAAGTCGATCTCATGTATAAGTCGAGTGCAGATTTGTGACCAACAATTGTGAAATATGCTATGCCTCGTGGATAAGTCGAGGGTAAAACTTGGGGCTATGAAGTTCTGTGATTTTTATAATTATATACACACACACTCATACAAACACACACTCTGCATTATACACACACACACACACACACTCATACACACACTCATACAAACAATCAGCATTATATACACACACACTCATACAAAAACACACTCTGCATTATATACACACACACTCCTACAAACACACACTCTGCATTATACACACACTCATACAAACACACACTCTGCATTATATCCGCACACACTCATACAAACACACACTCTGCATTACATAATGCAGAGTGTGTGTGTGTATATAATGCAGAGTGTGTTTGTATGAGTGTGTATATAATGCAGTGTGTGTAGTGTGTGCAGAGTGTGTGTTTGTATGAGTGTGTGTTTGTGTGTGAACTGGGTGGGGAGGGCATTTTTATTATTTTTTATTTTAGTATTTTTTTAAATTTTATTAACTTTTTAATTTTAATATTTACCTTTTTTTATTGTAATATTTTTTTTTATTATTTAATTTTTATTTTCGTCCCCCCTCCCTGCTTGTTAGCTGGCCAGGGAGGGGGACTCTCATTCCCTGGGGGTCCAGTGGATGGGCTGTGTAGGAGGTGGGCTGGCAGAAAGCTGTTACTTACCTTTCCTGCAGATCCTGTCAGCTCCCTTCTCCTCCGGTCCAGTCAGCTCCACTGTAAGCCTCGCGAGAGCCGCGGGGTCAGAGCGTTGCCACGCTCCGCGCGGCAGTCACACCGCGAGACTTACAGTGGAGGAGAAGGGAGCTGACCGGAGCAAAGGAGAAGGGAGCTGACAGGAGCTGCAGGAAAGGTAAGTAACAGCTCTCTGCCAGCCCCCAACAGGACTGCTGGGCTTGTATTGAGCCCGGCGGTCCTGGTCTGTATTATGGCAATGTAAGTTTCCATAATACAGACACTAACTCGAGTATAAGTCGAGTGGGGGTTTTTCAGCACAAATAATGTGCTGAAAAACTAGACTTATACTTGAGTATATATGGTATGTTGTTCATACCAGTGCAGGAACTAATGCAGATAGGGCCCCAGTGCAAGAAATTATTTTGGGCCCCCTAGCGCCAACATATTCCACAGTGATGTAAGCATGTTTATTTATGGAGTATGTTTATGTGAAATGAAGGGGTCTATTTGTGTATACTGTTTGTATGTAGTTTTGATGTTTGAATGCTGGGATGTATGCACATATACACATATGTGGCTACACACGGTGACACAGAAACACCCACTTACATATTAATTAAGAATGATTGATCACTATTGAGCAAATTAAACTCTTATAGATAGTTAAGATGGCGCTGGTAAGTACACACAGGCAGTATCACAAGATGCAGGCCTGGATGCCACAGCTATTAATACACAGCACTAAGACTTTTATTAAAACCACAAAACCAAGCATCAGAATGACTCATGCGTACCATTACGAGATAATTATTAGTACAGGTTAATTTATAGATAAGAGATAATTAACCGTACAGACCTGGCATGGCATGGTTGATGGTCCTGAACAGCCTGGCCAGCTGTCGGTCCCATCCAATGCTTTTGCAAGGTCTTTGCTAGGCTGCACTGATAAGGAAACCTGGTGGGAAAGTACAGACTATCCATCCCATTGGTAAAATAAAAAAATAAAAAAAAAGGCATAAAAAGACAAGAAAACTTGGCACTTGCTTGGGAGTACTACCCACCTGTAATACGGACGCGTTTTGCTGGTTCTGCTGATTCCCAGAAAGAGAGGGTCCCTTCAAGCCCGACTGCCAGAAGTTCTTTGAGTCTTGTACAGCAGAGCTTCTCTAATGGTGATGTATAACTTAAGCTGAATATCTAGATAATTAAACTGTTTCCTTAAGCTGAATGTGAACTATAGATTAAATGTTATTACTTATTAATTAATTCTCTGTTAATCAAAGTTTGTATTGATTATTTACAAGTAATAGTGTTTTTCCCTTTCTCAAATACTTAATTTACTTATCCTGAAAAGGATTTTGGTGCACACCAATATCTTTAACCCCTTAAGGACAAATTTCTGGAATAAAAGGGAATCATGACATGTCACACATGTCATGTGTCCTTAAGAGGTTAAAAACCTTAGGGAAATTGATTATTGCTTTTTGATATTGGCACTTCACGAATTTAATGATTAGGCACAACACACATATGTAGCCACACTGACACACACAGATACAAACATATACCTACACACATATACAAAAATACCTACAGAGGCACATACAAACACACACACAGATACTCGCATATACATACAGACACACACAAAGATACAAATATATACCTATACAGGCACACACACATCTGCACATTCACACTCCCATTCTTACCCATACCAACACTAGCACACACACAAATACACATTAACACTCACAGATACACATACCTATACAAACCCATTGGCACACAGATACACTGTTACACAAACACACAATGGCACATATACTCTCTCTCACACACTCACACACACAGAATGCAATTTACATATTGTTACATATTGCTTCCATAGCTTTTGGTTGCATGGAAGTGGCTGCCGCTGATGGGCGTCAGCAGCTGACTGCCTGCAGAGCTCCCTCCTCCCTCTCTGTGCCTGCAGCCCTCGAGGTCTCTATGCTGGGAGGAAGTGACAGTTACTTCCTCCCAGAATTCTCTGCAAACATTGAAGGGGCCTGATATCGCAGCAACCGACTGGGCCATCAATGAGACCTGACTGGGGGTACCTGTAGGAATTCCTCTTGGTATCGCCGACACTGCAAGAGACCAGTCAGGCTCTAAGAAGGTCTTGGCTCCCATTTAGTCATAATACTCATCAGGTGACCGTTAGTGAATGGGCCACCCAATGTGCCCCCTTAAGCCACCCGGTCCCCAAGTGCAGTGGCACCGGCGGTAGTTCCGCCACTGGTTCATACAGTGAAGTCCTTTGCCTTAGACTAAACATTTTCTTCCAGTCTATGTATTTAATTATGGCCTATGTATTTATGAACAGAGAATGGTTTGTATTGGCCCATAATATATTAGTATAATGATATTGTATTCCCTCTGAGGAGCCATTTTTCTAAATTAAACCGATTTAAATTTGTTAGCCATTCTTCTTAACTAAAATCGTACATTCCCCATTAATTTTGCAACGCACCTGTGCACTTTTTCTAATGCCATAATATACATGACAATACCTTATTGGTCTTAGTGACTGCTGATTGACTTTGGACATTGTTGTCTAGTTTGTTGACAAATTGGCTATTTCCAATGTGTTTTTTTCGCGAACTCACTACCATTTAGGATGCAAGTTGCGTGTGCAAGCTTAAAGGAAGTGGTCTGGGTGCCAGGTCCATCTACGGTTAACCGTTCCTGCTATAAACATAGCAGTTTCAGAGAAACTGCTATGTTTACATTAGGGTTAATCCAGCCTCTAGCGGCTGTCTCATTGACAGCCGCTAGAGGCGCTTCTCACTGTGATTTTTACAATGAGAAGACGCCAACGTCCATAGGAAAACATTGAGAAATGCTTTCCTAAGGACTGATTGAATGCGCGTGCTGCTCTTGCCGCGCATGCGGCGGATGACTTCGGAAGAGGGAGGAGTCCCCAGCGTCGAGGGAGCCTGGCGCTGGAGAAAGGTAAGAAGTTAACCCCTTCCTCCCCCTTCAGCCTGGCAGGGGTGGACGGGGACCCAAAGACCCTATAGTGCCAGGAAAACAAGTTTGTTTTCCTGGCACTATAGTGGTCCTTTAACCCGAAGTGCATTTCACCAGCCCTTTTTGTCAAATGCCATAACCCCTCAACTGCAAAGTAATATCCTCCTCACTTTGTATTACCTTACCTAGATTTGTGTCATCTGCAAACAGTGACACACGACTTTCAATGCCTATTTCAAGATCATTTATAAATGTTTTGAGTAGAAGTGGTCCCAGAACAGCCTCTTGAAGAACATGACTTACCGCTTTTGTCCAGCTTGAAAACTTACCATTAATGGCAACTACTCCATCTTTAAGCCAGTGTTCTAACCAAGAGCAAGAATTTACATCTAGACCAGTTTTGTTTAGTTTGAACATGAACCTATTGTGTGGAACCGTATCAAACACCTTGGCAAAATCGAAGTAGATCATACCCACTGCAACACCCTGATCTATACTTCTGCATATAATGTAATTAGACATGATTAACAAAACCATGATGATTTCTGATAATGACGTTCCCAACAAATCCCTGAATATTATTCCTAATAACCTTTCAAATACTTTCCCAGACAAAGACGTTAAGCTCACAGGGCTATATAGTTACATGAGAAAGAGAGATGTGTACATCAAGGTCAGCCTCTCTCACATCTGGTTTTGCTGTTGATCCAAAGGAAGGCACAAAAAAAAAATTCAGTTTGAAGTGCTTACTAATTTTGCAGCAAACTAGGAAAATATTCATATTAGACCCCAGAATGGTAGCTAGATTTCTCCTTGGATCAAGAAGCTGTTAGCCCACATTAAAAAAAAAAAAAAATCAAAAATCATGCAGTTGCTTTTTAAACATCTGTACAGACTGATAAAACCGCCTCTCCAGGCAGAGAATTCACCATCCTTATTGTTTTTACTGTAAAAAAAAAACCCCAACAACTTTTCTTTGCTTTAGATTAAATCTAATTTCTTACAGTCTAAATGTGTGACATTGTGTACTTCGGTATAGTCCTGTTTAAGAATAGGTTTCAAGACAATAATTTGTATTGGCCCCAAATATATTTGTATAATGCCATCATATCCCCTCTGATGAGCCTTTATTCTGACCTAAACAGATTTAAATTTATTAACCTTTTTTTATAACTAAAATGTTACATTCCTTTTATTAATTTAGTCCGCCTCTGCACTTTATCTAGTGCCATGATATCCTTCTTTAGAACAGGTACAAAAAATTGCACAGCATATTCAAGATGTGGTCTGAAAGATGCAAAATAATAGTTTCATCTCCAGAATAATTGCCCCTTTTTATGCAATTCCTTACTGGCCTAAGCAACTGCTGATTGACACAGCACATTGATGCTTAGTTTGTGGTCTATAATTCCCCAAATCCTCCTCATGTTTTATCCCCAATTCACAACAGTTTAAGGTAGAAGTTGCTTGAGCATTCTTTACCCTGAGTGTATAACTTTACATTTATCTACATTGAATTTGAATTTTTAGTGCCTTAGCCCCCCCCCCCATCTATATAAATCCCTCTGCAAAAAAGCAATATCCTGCTCACATTGTATTACTTTACAGAGTTTTGTGTCATGTGCAAAAACTGAAACATGACTTTCAATATCATTTCTAAATGTTAAATAGAAGCAGTCCCAGAACAGAACACAGAGGAACACCACTTATCACTATTGTCCAGCTTACAAAATTTACCATTAATGACAACTCTCTGTAATCCATCTTTAAACCAATATTCTACCCAAGAATAAGAATTTTTATCTAGACTAATTGTTTTTAGTTTGAACACTAATCTGTTGCGTGAAACTGTATACAATAACTTGACAAAATCCAAGTAGATCACATATGCTGCAGCACCCTGATCTATACTTCTACTTACTTCTACGTAGAATCCAATTACTGGTTTCATAAAACCAAGCAGATTTTTGCTAATAATGTTCTTCCCAATGAAGTCCTGAAAATTATCCCTTAAATCACCCTTCAAATACTTTCCCAGAAGTTATGCTTACATGTCTACATATTCCAGGCAATGAATTGTGGTTCCTATAGTTAAAAAAAAGGGTTCAAAATCCATCACAATTTGTCAGTATATCTTTTGCCACAGGTTCCTTAATAGTTAATATATATAAATATAATTAAAAATGTCTGTCTTTTCCTGGTCTTCATTAACTAGCACACCCATCTCTGATTTCAGTGTACCTAGACTTTCATATTTTAATTATTTTTTTAGATTTTGGGGTTGGTTTTGCTCTATTTGGCATCAATTTCTCATTTTTTAGTTTAGCCCAATTGCTTTTTGCAAGCATTATTGGCTTCCTTTTTTGCCTCTGATTTGTCCAATTTAAATGCTTTAAATGCCATTTTATTATTTTAATTTATTGGCTTACACCTCCCTATTAAAGTCACATTAGTTTCAGTTTGTTTCTTTTATATTTATTACCCAATAGTACATTCTGAGAGGTGTGCATTTGTAATTTGTTCATGTCAGTCAATTTGTTGGAAGGCTGCCCTTGTCTTATTAAAATATGTTTTATAATATAGTGATAATCTATTGTGGGTTCAAAATAGGAACAGCTAACTAATGGCTTGTGCATTTTGTGCCTTACTACTACTTCTAGAGGCAACATTTCCACCCCTTAGGACTCCCAGAGGGTTATTAGCATTCAGCTCTCACTATAACTTTTACCTCAATAAATTATTATTGGAGACAATGCCTTCATGAAATTGTATCCACCCGGTGGCACCACTGTTTAGTATATTTTTGTCTTCATCTAAGTATTAAACTATTTCTCATTCTACATTCCAAGCTAATCAAATGCAAATGATATATATTCTTAAAAGTTTTGCTATATATGCATTCATAATTCTGTCATTGGTTTTATAACAACCTGGATAAACAAAAAACAAAACTCAATTCTACAATTAACAGTCAGTGTCAGAATCTTGGATCTATGCGTCTCCCGACCTAGTCTGTGGACGATGCCACGGTTTCATGGAATCCCCCATAGAGCTCAGTGCTGTAATCCCACGCATTCATGAGAGTACAGCTGTGAACAAGTTCCTAGTGGATGAAGCAGAAAAATCTGAAGAAATACGTTGGCAGCACTCTTGGGAGTGAACTTGAGACAAGTATAACTACCTTCTACTTTACTCCCTGGCCACCGTACACAAAATGGGGATTTCACTTCACTTCTTTGCAAAATATGCAAAAAAAATTAAATGATGCTCCATCAGATTTCTGCACTTTCAGAGATATTAGAGTGCTTTATATTTAGGTAATGAGACACCCCAATATCAAGTATTAGTTCAACATACTAATAGATGGCAATGTCAGGGGGTTAACATTTATATGGCCTGGATCAATGTCACATTAACCTTCCACGGATGAAATGATCAAAAATTAATTCACAGCAATTGATTACAATAATTCATTACTGAGAAACATTTCCAAATAATACAATGAAAAATGCCACTAAGTAATAAACTTTGTTATACAGTAATCTAGGTTAGATTGACTCCATCAATGTTAACATTTCACAATTCTTTTTATGCTGTTGATCCAAAAGAGGAAGAAAAACCCAATTTGAGGCAACTGAAAGTGCCACGAAAATCAAAAAACTAAACAAATCCTTACAGACTCCAATGGCAGCCAGATTTCTCCTTGCATTATCAAGTTGTTTCATTTCAATTTTACACCCCCTACCCCCTCCCAAAACACAACACACCTATGCTTTCATTTTTAAAAATAACAGGAACTGAAGAAAACAAAAATCTTGCTGGGCAGAGGATTTTATACATTTATTTTTCTTACTGTAAAGGATATTTTCCTCTGCTACAAGCAAAAATCACATTTCTTGACTTCTCAATAGATGACCTCTTGTATATTGTGTATTCCTGCTAGTTAATACATCTGTATAGCTCTGTCATATCCCCTCTGAGACAATTATCAAAAAACATTTATATTCAGGGCCAGTACAAACCACTTTCTGATTATTTATGTTTATTAGCAGGGATATACCACAGACAAAATGTGCCTCTGTGACTGCAGATGAAGGGAGTCCCTGTAATTTACAGTGCTTTGGTAACAACAAGAGCCTTTTTGAGATTTTACTAGCCTTATGTCACTGGCACAAAGCAATTTATTTTAGCTAGTTTAAAAAAAAAAAAGTTATAGAAATTGATGTAAGAAAAAAAAAAAAAAAAAGGGAGGACTAGAGGGTTCATCTGGGAAAGGGTCAAAATCACACGCTTGCGGCAGGAATACTGTCCAGATCATGGATCCCATCCTTGTCAATAATCCTCACTGTGAATGATGGTAAGCTCAGAATGAAGCGCTTTTCGAGCTGGAAGACAGAGAAACAAAGAGGTGTGTGAACAATCTGCTCTTTCCAAAAGGTGTCAGAATAAATTAAATTAATGCAAGTGATCTGATGAACAAGGCTAAAAGACTTAAATTAGCAGTCTGCCGAGTTGAAATTATGTGGGCAAACACACAAATATTGTGACTATTCTTAAATGGATCCAGCTCAGAAATTAATAAAGGACATCCTCAAAAATGTTCCTTTGTATTTAATATACTGCTCCAATGTTGATACAGTATGCAAGTTAATGACATGAACTTGGTAGAGCCCCTATACATATCCATGTATGACTTTTATGTCAAACAGAGAAAACACATATTCATGTTTGCTGCATCCTAAAGTACACATTATCAAAAATGTTTTTTTTTTTTATATATTATTGCCACCTATGAGTTGGCTTCTGCAATTGATGGGATACTTTCACATATGTACTGATTAGCCCTCTACAGGTGAAAATAGGAATGCACTGTTGATTGTATAAAAAGCAAAACATTCATTAAAGGAACACTCCAAGCACAATGCAGTGGTTATGATGCCATAAATGCCCAGGTGCCTACTCATTAGATGTTAGAATGGTAAGACTTCTTGCCTGGGGGCCAGCGGGTGGTACTCCCCACTTTAACCAAGTCTCCAGAGAGGTGGAAGCACCTGAGCAGCAGCTTCAGTATATTTGCTGGTGTGCTTGTGATCAATGCCCTGTTGCATGATTCAATTTTGGTTAAGCTTGAGCTGTCGGACAGGTGGCCTCACATTTGACTCTAGAATACCTTGGTATACAGAGGAGTTCATGCTCGACTAAATGACTAAGTTTCCCAGGTCTTGTGGCTGCAAAACAAGCCCAAATCATCACCACTCTAACACCATGCTTGACAGCCGATATGCAGTGCTTGGTTTCAGTGTGCGTTATGGACAAACATCTCCACTTTGTTCTCGTTTATCCAAAGGACATTGTTCCAGAAGTCTTGTGGTTTGTTCAGATGCAATTTTGCAAACTTAAGCCTTGTTGCCATGTTCTTTTTAGAGAAAAGAGGGGTTCTTCTGGCAACCCTAACCAAATAAACCATACTTGTTCAGTCTTTTTCTAATTTTACTGTCATGAACTTGAACATTTAACATGCTAACTGAAGCCTGTAGAAGAGTTTTGTTGCAATTTCTCTGAGCATTGGATGGTCTAACCTTGGGGTAAATTTGCTGGGACATCCACTCCAGGGAAATTGGAAACGGTCTTGAATGTTTTCCCATTTTTGAATAATGTTTCTCACTGTAGAATGATTAGCTTTAAATTGTTTAGACATGGCCTTATACCTCTTCCCAGGTTGATGGGCAGCAACAATTGCTTCTCTAAGATGATTGCGGATGTTTTCTCTCCTTGGCATCACTTGAATGCTCCAGACCAATAAACTGCTAAGACTTTGGCTTTTATAGATGTGGTCACACTTGTTGATGATCAATTAAATCAATGGTATTGTATTAGAAGCAACTGTCTGCTAGTTAGCTTCTTATAGAAGCAGTAAGGGTGCACTTAGTTTTTCCACACACGTCTTCTCCATTTTGGCTTTATTTTTGTGAAATAAATCAAGACTGTGTACATCTGAACTAGTATTTACCGGATTTAAAACCTGCTAAGGAACAGATGATTGTTATGTCCCGATATGTAAAACCACAGAATTCTAATTCTTTATTGCCAGTCAATTGTTCGATTTGTATTTAAAATAAAACAAAGATTACGATGATAAAGTGCAGCATAATTTGATTTTATCTGAGGGTATTTACATCCATAAATAGGGAATCTTATAAGAATTAAAATTCTTCAAATGAATATCAAAGTCTCTACTTTACCTTTGCAGTTTGTTGTAAATTCTTTGCAGTTCACGAGAGTCTGAAATCTCTCATTTATTAAAGTGGCACTGTCCCAAATTATGCAGAGTGCCGCTTTAAATGCTGGGTATGTTCCAGAGTGATGCATTCCTGTTTGTTAAGGGACATTTTTCCCCACTAAGTTTTCAGACTGGGTGATAGATGTGAACAGTGAAGACTACTATGTCATTGCCTTGCTGTTAGTTAAAGTGTCTTCCAATGAGTTTTACTGCATTTGGTTGGTTATTTATGTTGGCTGATGCTTCAATGCAATACAGAAATCTAATTTCTGCCATTATCAGCAGTCACACAATCAAAAAGGACAGTAAGATAGATATATTGGCAATCTTACCATTACCTTCAGAGACAAAATGCTCAAAAGAGCCCCTGATGAATTAGAGAAAATACGGTCTTATTTAATGAACAATTAGAGAGTAAGCAAGATGATGAGTAGGTAATTACTCTGATGGAGAATGTCGGTTTGTAGATACTTGTTAAAACTGTTTAATGAATATGGAAAAGTGGCATAATAAATTGTCTCTATCAGACAAGGCTGCGTGTATTGTTGACAGTTTATAAAGGAAATAAAATGTGGATGCTCACGCACTGCATTCAATAGCATATGTAGTTGTAACATTATATATCTTTCCTGAGTATTCCCACTCTCATAAAAGTGCACTATGCCTTTAAATTGAAAAGAAGATAGTGCAACAATAAGTGTTACAATAAAGTGCATTGTTTTTGCACTACCCTCTTTTCACCTTAAAGGCAAAGTGCACTTTTATATAAAAGAGTTGATGTACTCATGAAAGAATTTTACAGTTGCAGCGCACCTTAATTTTGTTTTATGCTATTGTAGTTTATGAGCTACTGCACTTTGATAGGTGCTGCTACATTAATTTTTAATTTGTAAAAGAAATAAGCGCCATTATCACTTGGAATTTTTGTTATTAGCATATGTAATTGAGGTATCATGGACTCCTGTACCACATAAAGTAGTGATTAAGTAAACCTACAGTTTTTCTTTAACGAAAAACATAGCTGGAGTTGGAATATTGTAATGATGATTGGACAGAAGGTACTTTACAGAACCTAACTAGAATTTCCGAACATGAGAGAAATATTAAAAAAGGAATAGAGACACAGTGTCTCACATCACTTTAAAAACTTCCACAATCAAAATCCGAAAGATCTCACACTTTGTACACTGAATGTAATGGAGGGGAAGAAATTTTACAAAAAAAAAAAAATTGGAATTGAAGAAATTAAATTTATTTTTAATGTTAACACTCTAGTACCTTATGGTCTTAATTTAGATTTTGAACTGTGTCATTTTTTTATCATGAATTTTATTTTTTAGCCTACACAGCATATTTCTATTTTATCTTTTTAAATCCAAATTGGGCAGAAAACTTGTTTTTAAGCTTCTGATTAAATTTTATAACTTAATCAGAAATTATATATTAGAGTTTATTTTATATTATTAAGAAACTATTATTTCATCCCTCCTCCATGTTTTACAAGGATATCACCAATAGAAGTACTATATGAGGATATGGCAATCTATATTGTTTTGCACTGATTTACACAAGCACTTTTGAAAGAAGAGCACTGAGCACTTTAAATTGTCTTGGTATAAAGAGATAGATGTGAATATTTATGGAAAGTTATTTTGTTTTGTACTAATCTCTGCTATTGCTTCAGCATGCTCATATTTCCTATAATACTCGAACGCAGACGCTTTAGGAATATCTGTAATATTTTCAACACCTCAGAGTGAAGGTATTCCAAGCAGTGAAACGCACAGATGCGTCCCACAAGACGGAGGGAGGCACTATCGGGTCATGTGATCTATATGTGAACGGAACGTGCGCTCCACCTGACGGAGGTCACTAACGATGTTCACGGATGCCGGCAAATTCACAATGAAAGCGGTATTTAAGATGGAAGGAACGCCATACAAACGATACAGCCAACTGAGGAAGCCAGTAAATGGCGAAACATGTTTTGGACATTGGATTTTATACTATACTAGTATTTTGGATCAAATTTATCATTTTTATTATTTTTTTTATCTCCAATAAAAGTGTATCCTTTTTCTACTGGAGTTTCCGGTCCATTCTTACCTGATAATCTGAAGGTGGAGGAGGCCAGAAGGAGGTGCAAGGGGGCAGTGGATCACCCTTAAAAGATCCTGAAGCATTATATACTGATCAATTGGCTCTAAAACCTGTGAGTTGTGAATTATTACTTTCCTTTTTATATTGAAATTGTACAGACCATCAGCACTATATTTGTGTTATATATTATTTACATATCTCTGGTTAAGATTGTAACCAAGTGTATTCATGTTATAACCAGGTACTCTGAAGCTCCACTTATATCTTCTTGTATATACTTTAAAGAACCTAGCTGGGTGTGAAATCTTTAAAATTTTTACCTCTGCTACGCATTTCTTAAGTAGCTGTATTGCTTCCTCTCTTGTCAAATCTGAAACACAAGATGATCTAAATCACTTTTACATCAATTAAACAAACAAACAATACAAAATAAATACAACTGGTAAAAAAAACAAAAAAACAACAAAAAACACAACAACACTTCTCTTTAATCGTTTAACCTCAACAACGAGATGTAACCGGACTCCTTACAACCTACTTCTAAGATCACAACATTTATTTTCCTGTTGAAAATAAAAAAAATCTCATTCTACAGTAACCAGTTTAAAGTAGTAATGTTTGAGAATGTAGATGTATGCATACATGTTCATGCATACTACACACAAATGCCGAGGAATGGAAAGAGGTAGAGGTGTGGGAGGAAGCAATGGAAATTAAGACATATTGTGTATTGAAGGCTAAAGATACACCTAAGTTTAACCCTTAAAGCTCATTCTAACAATGTAATCCTTTACTGTAAAACAGTATTTTTGCTTAGCAATAATATCTAAAATGTTTAACATTAAACAGATTACTTTGTAGTTGCTATGATAGATCTACTAAAAATGTATTTGATTATTGTTTATAGGAATGCTGCACGTATCTTAACTGGCAGGCAGCAGAGTACCATAAACACATCCATGAATTATTCAGGATTTAACAAACAATAAGGTTTAAGTATGACAACGATATATTGTGTATGTACATGTGATGTATATGTACATGCAACTTTAATTTTGATGTGCAAATTCAAAAAGTACACCAACCTGCACAGTTTTATTATTAAGATTATTTTTTTTTAAACCAGACATTATTTGGTGGTGAAACATTCATTTTCTGAATAAATGTTTAAACAAGTTCAATGAAGTCACTCCGCCTTCTTTCTATAACATCCCTGGGAAAGAAACATGTTCCATATGTGACCAATACCACTAATAACAAGGCTGCTAATCGGTTTGCTACGCTGGGGAGAAAGGCGTGACGGAATTTAAGGGAAGGGGCTATGAGATGAGGAGAACGTGGCCTTCCTCAGAAATTTATTAGGGGGAATGAGCTGCAACTGCCCTGGGCTACAACGGCTGCTGTTGGGGGTGGTGGAGTTGGCTTAAACCTGGGCCTCTTGCTGGGTAATATTGGTTTTAGACCTTTTGTCATTGTTTTACAAGCCGTGCATTCAGCAGGTATTAAGGTGCCATTTAAAAAATAATGGCTATGGAGCCTGCTGCCAAGAAGTTAATTATTCCAGTTAGTTTTTGGGAGGACAAGTAGATCAAGATATTTATGTAACTGCAAGTGTATGTAGGTAGCATTTTAGAATTTAAAGGACCACTATAGTGCCAGGAAAACAAACTCGTTTTCCTGGCACTATGTAGTCTTTAGGTACCCCCCCCCCACCCTCATGGCCCCCCTCCTGCTGGGCTGAAGGGGGTTAAAAGCCCTTCAGCCATTTACTTTTCTCCAGGACTGGGCTCCCTTGGAGCTGGGGAACTCTCCTCTTCCTGCCGACATCAGCGCCGAATGTGCGGCGCACACATTCAAACCGCCCATAGGAAAGCATTACTCAATGCTTTCCTATGGACGTCAGTGTCTTCTCACTGATTTTCCCAATGAGAATCGCGGAAGCGCCTCTAGCGGCTGTCAGTGAGACAGCCAAAAGAAGCTGGATTAACCCTCAGTGTAAACATAGTAGTTTTTCTGAAACTGCTATGTTTACAGCTACAGGGTTAAAACGAGAGGGACTTGGCACCAGGACCACTTCATTCAGCTGAAGTGGTGTTGGTGCCCATAGTGGTCCTTTAAGCCAAATAGACTAGTTGGAAAAAAAAAAGTCTCCTAAATGGTTATTACGGCTTACATTTTACCAATCTGAGGTATACACTCCATTAGAAAATGTCTAGTGAATTAAGAGAAAACACTCTACTTCATGTCCTACAGAAAGTCTATCAAACACATCCTAGGTTTAAAAATGATATCAAATGATACCCCTGTGAAACTGGTAAGACAGCACAGAAATCTGCATCATATTGGCATATCAGAATAGCATATATACAGAATAATATGGACATCCTGATTTAGTGTTGAGCTTGTCTATGTTACAAATATACTGACAGAAGCAGCAGAGGGGAAGATACAAGAAGGTGATCATTGTCCCACTCACATGTACATCCATAAGGAATAATACAATTTGACCACATTCCAAAAAACAAATACAAGGGGAGATCAAATTGTTATGTTTTAAAAAGTGGTCTAAAATACTAAAAGTGGGACAACCATAAAGAAACCAACAGGCACACTCCACTAGTAACTCCTCCCCTTACAGATTTTTGCACTTTTTAGAACAGAAAAACTTGCTAAATCTTCCCCTACATCTCATCTATGAAAACATTTTTTTTTCTGAAATGACTTAATAACTTAGTTGTAATCTATTCTACAGACCCATTATATGAATTAAGTAAGATGTCTTCTTCTGTGACTACGGATCATAATGTAGTGTTACACATCGATAGTGACTGGCCTAATGGAAATATTTTAGTGTGTAGGTTTGAAAGAACAATTTATCTTTAATATGTACGAGAGGCATCAGTTTATAGTCACAGAGATAAGGAGTTTCCTGTAATGCCTAAACAGTAGGACAGGGGTTCCTGGACAATATGACTAGCAGTATCGTCTAGGTGATGCCAGTCTGCCTTTTTACGGACAAAGTATAATGGATGACTAGCAGATACTTACTAGTGTGATCCTCTCCTGCCTGCTTTACAACCTGTGTCTAAATGTAGAAACCGGAACCTGTCTGCCCCGACAGCCTTCAACTACAAGTCTAGGGACCCACATCAATATATGATGCAACAAAGCTCTACTCTGCAGGATATATCCAGCCTGGAGTTTAGAACAATGCATGAACACACTGGAAGGAACATTTTAATTGCGGTTTTCTCTGCCTCAAAATAAAGATTAGCAACATGTTGGCTTTAAAACAGCGACGACAACAATCAATGAAAAATACATTTCTTCAAATGTGGATCCCTAAATACTAACCAGACCATGAAGTAGGCTGCTGCTAGATTTTTTTTTCCTTATTCACTTTAACTTTGGGTCATATAAAGATATATATAATTGACATGTAATAATCTAAAGCACTGACAAGAAGGTCAGACTGTTTAGATAAGGCTAGAAAAATTGCCTTTATATTTCGTTAAACTTGAACCCTGGCAGAAGCAGTACACAATCCTTACTTTAGCATTGAAAGGGTGTGTAATATCAGATAAGTGATTGATTGACACTGCCATTTATAAAGATCCTGGAGGACTGGGGAATAAGGGTGGGGGTGAGACTGGATTCCCACCAGGGGGTTCTCTGCTCTCTGTGTACCCCTGCAAGGTGTGGGTGTTATCACACTAACATCTCAGTGCTGGCATAACATGTTTAGAGGGCTGTATAGCAAAGCAAGCACTTTGAACTGACACTACAGTGTAACCTTCTCTGCCCTTACCTCCCCCCAAGTGCAAAACAGCTCAGAAAAAAAACCTAAAAAGAGTGCCAGTCTGGTAATTTGTATTTCACTTTCTGCACACCATGCAAAAAAAAAAAACCAACCTTAAAAGAGTCGCACATAATAAAATAGCAGTATTATAGACACATGTCAGAGTCTATGATCTCTGAATTTTTGATCATATGAAAAGAGATCTCAGAATAATGTGAACATACTTACTGTCAGGCAGTTCAATAACTATATGGCTATTTTAAGTAACACGTTCACATTTTCCTTTAGACTACCACTCTGCATGTTAAATCACCTTTCTAATACATCATTCCATGTGAAAAAGGACAATGTCTCTTAAGACAAGAACACAATGTGGTAAATGTTTTTCAGACTTTCTTGTTTTGCAACAGGTCATACCTGGTTTATAGTAGCGGTCTAGGACGCTCAGAGTGAGAAAGGCTCCATAGCCATGTGCTGCAAATGGTGCCTTAGCCAACGCAGCCATGTAATCCATGTAGTATAGAGAGGGTCCATCGTGTTCGTCATAACCGGCCAACAATAAGTTAACATGGTATGGAGTCTGCAAGACACAAAATTTCATTGCATTATTTTATCTCTGTAAAGGACTGTGTGCATAGAAGAGATCCAGCCACACAGGTGCACTGATGCACATAGGCACCAATATGGGATGATACATTGCTTCATGAAATAATGGTGATGGAAAGGGTACAACAGGCATACTTTCAATCTCAAAGTTTACTTTAAACATTATAAAAGTAATCTACAGAAATACATATATATCGGATTTCAACATTGATATAAACTGCAAATAATATAACTAACAGGGGACAGGTAAGATTTGAGACATAAATAAATTGAGCATGTAAACCTACCTATACACATTCGACAGTAGCTCACGTGCACTTTAATACTTTCATCAGGAGCACTGAATGGGTTAAGTTAAAATGTTTGTCTGGCTTTTAGTTTGTCTATATTGTAAACATACTGACAGAGGCAGCAGAAGGGAAGGTAACAGGAGGCGATCCACTCCCAAAAAGTAAAAACCAAAGCAACAGTTGATATTGTCAAATAAAAAAATAAAATAAAAAAAATAAAAAAAACACTTTCACAATAGCTTGTGATTTAGCAATTCTCAGGCAATTAATTTTACAGGTAATAATGTGAATGGCAATATCAATTGTCAATATAAAATAAGAAGAAAATCGGTCAGGCACATGAACCTGGATAACGCAACCCAAGACTTACATTGCCCTGGAGGTTCATCTTTCATGAGATTTCTATTCTCCCCCCTTGCTCTCCCTCTCAAAAAAAATAAAAATAAAATAATAAAAATAAAATAAAATAATAAAAATAAAATAAAATAATAAAAATAAAATAAAATAAAATAATAAAATAATAAAAATAATATAAAATAAAATAAATAAATAAATAAATATATATATATATATATATATATTTTTTTTTATATTTTTATATTGGAAGCCCACTTCAGGTTTTTTTGGATAATATTCTGAACAAAATCCATTACACAATTCGAGGTTAACAGCAAGTTTGATATTTAGGAGACATCAAAACTAGAGTTTTGTTGATAGACTCATGAAACATTTTTTTTTCCCCCTGTGGTTCAAAAAAAATCCCAAAATGAAACGATCCTCCCTTAAAATGTAGGACAAAAGTTCCAGATCTAAAAGTGCAGGGAAGCATATATTGTTGAAGTGAAAACACGTTTGTTTTTAAAACTAAAGTATATATTTAAACACTAAATTTAAATATTTTCATTTATATTCTTCATACATATAAAAGTTATCATGTAAAAAAAAGATATAAAACACAAAGCTTGTGGCCAGTAACCCTAGATACGAGAAGACTTTGTTAAGATGTGGACAACTAGTCTAGTCACTTCCTAAGTTGGTAAAATGTTGCAGTTGAGCGTTATGACTAGGCAAGAAAGATCCATTGTGATGGGCTGACAGGGGTTGCAGTTACAGCCTGTGCTCTATTAGATGTTTTAATTTAATTAGCCACTCTAACATTTATTTATGCCTACACATTTGAGACACAGTCACAATTAACAAGAGGCGGAATAATTAAAAAAAAATAAAAAAGCTCAGTGTATAAAGAGTGGTACAGGAGATGTCTCGCTAAAGGTTTGTGCGACTCTCGAGATGCCAGCTTTCTGCATGTGTGAGATGCTCAGGCATAAATAAAAGGGTGTGATGCGGTTTTAATTAAACCAATACATCTGTGCCAGTTACCATGTCAGACTTCCTCATGACAAGCTAGGGTACAGGGAGTGAGCAGCCTTTTTTACCCTTTCAACACTGGGAAAAGCAGGGCAACGAAAAAAAAAAGGTGACCACTCTGCTTTAGCAAAGTCTAGAGCCTAATTATTAGAGTGCAGAACCCATTTAAATGTATTTTATAACAATCAAGTAAAAACTACAACACAAGCCAAGAAAATGTCTGTATCATCTAATAGACCAACCATCTTTAACGCCTATTTGGTATTACGTCCAAACATTTCTCAACATACAACATATTGAAGTCTCCAAAGAAAAAGTGTCTGCCACAAGACTCCCAAAATGAAGGCAAATAAAAAAAGCAATGAATCATTGAGAAGTTATGCATCCTTGTTCTAGACTGGACAGCAGCACTTGGTGCTCTGGTAATAGTTATATTATAGCTGGACAATGAGGAATGAAACGTAAACGATGCTCTTTAATGTCCATGTTAAATATAAACTTAAGCAACAATTCAGACACTCACAGTTCTACAGTTTTTTTTTGTTTTGTTTTTAAAATAAAGCTAAACTTGAGGGAAGCGTCCAGATGGAGGGAGGGAAAACTATACTGCCTGCAAGGAGGAAGATGTATATGGCTGTGGCTGGCGTGCTGAAGAATATGCACAGAATGGACATTAGACAGCCCAAGTCACATGTGCTGGGGGGGTGCAACTTGCCAACAGCACACAATAACTCTGGATGTGCAGTGCTTAATGCTGAAAATACTGCACATTAAGGCTTCTACCACCAAGACAACTTCAAATTTCTGAAGTGGTTGCAATAACCCTTTAGGCATCGGTAAATTATTGCAAAATAGTTTGTAGAGCAATATAAATACAGGATTTGTGAGATCTAAATATAATATAATTCAATATATAATACTTGTGTTTATGGAGATCTGATATGAGCATCCATTAAAATCGCATCTATCCACATTATTCTAAACATTGTAGGTAACCATATCAAGGGTTACCCTTACCCCAACTCGGTCACAATTGAGGATACACATGGATATTACCACTATATGGTGACACGAACGTGTATGCTTGCATACGACAATATGTAAAGAGTGCTTGTTAAATTGTATGTAAATCGTACCTGGACAAAGAGGTGCCGCAAAGGATACGCGTTTTTCATTGTAATACTTTGTTTTAAGTTTAAGTTTTAATTGGCACGAAACATGGCAAATTACAAGTATATTTTCCATACAAACACTGTAGAGTTTGTATTCTAAATCAAACTATTATAGAAGGAAAAATAAGGAGAGGTATCTATCTCGGTCAATGTTTTTTTAAATTAGACACTGTAACAGCTGCATTTCATTGAAGTGGTTATAGTGTCTCAAGCCCCTTGGCACTGTCCTGCCATTTAGTGTTAAACAGTTTTAATGAAAACCGATAGACCCCAGTCCTTCCCCTCTATGCTGCTTGATCTACTGAGTAAGCTGAGTGGCTGTGATTGGCTGAGCGCATCAGCTGACCCCAGTCTATCACAGTGCCTATTGCTGGTGTGAGTTAAAGGGACACCGTAGGCACTGTATCTGCTTCATCTCATTAAACTGGTTATAGTGTCTGGAGTCCTCTGGTACCATCATTTCTTTCAGCATTAAACAGTTTTTTAAACTTTTAATGTTTTAATGCTAAACAAGAGTCCCCAGCAATCCATCTCCTCTGTGCTGCTTTGGCTAATAAGGAAGTATTAGCTTGAAAAGCAATAGGCAGCTGTGATTGGCTGAGAGTGTCAGCTGACTGCTTTTAGCCTGTCAGAGTTCCAACTGACGGTATGAATGGGTATGACAACAAGGAAGTGTGTAATCTCTGCCTTAGCTACACATACTGAAGGGGCCGGACTGTGGGTGGCCAGGGACTCTTATTTTGTGCCATACTGCACGAACATGGTGCAACACTGAATAGAGGGACAGTGCCAGGCCACTCCAGGCACTATAACCAATTCAAAGAGATGAAATGCTTATAGTGACTATAGTGTCCCTTTAATATGGTGAGAAAGAAGTGTGTAATCTCTGCCTTAGCCATAGCTCCAGTGGGGGCTAGTCAGTGGGTGACCTTTATCTAGCATTAAATTGCTTAAAATTGGTTTCACACTGAATGAAGGGACAGTGAGATACAGTATAACAAATTTAAGGAGATAAAAAAAAATTGTGTGTGTCCCTTTAAGATCACGTGGACTCTAAAACTAGCAGAGAGGCTATGATTAACCACAAAATGAATTGTCAGCTGTCCCAAGCTAAACTCTGCAATACAGGCTGTGCTCATTGGCTAGCAAATTCCTACTTGGTGATTTCCAACTCTCCCGCAGCGCATATTTTGACTTCTTACCATAGGGGTTGCCAGGACACTGCTGGCACCATAATCACTACAGCAAGCTGTAGAGCAGGTTTATGAATGTGGTTAATTAAGAATTGCACATACCAAAAAGGTATACAACTCTGTATAGTTTACAGTATTACCAGAACTTTAAAAATAGTTCATTGTTTTGCTCTTATTAACAAATCTCAAACATTCTTGTGAGAAACTTCAATAGAATTTAAACCTCAGCCCTTCACATGTCTACACAGCCTAAGTATATCAGGTGACCGCTGTGTTCAATTACTGAGCTAAGCACCCAGAGGCAAGAGTGTATGTGTACGTCACCATTTCTGGCTGACCTAGGTCACTCATTGAACCTGTGATTTCTACATGTCAAGTTCGATCCCAGGGATTCTCTTTGAAACAAAAGCATCTGTAAATTCTTTTATTGTTTAATAATTTAAAGTGATCAAACAGTATGCTACAAACGGTTTAGAAAATGTCTGATTTTATGGATTAATTAACCTGAATTTGTCAACTGAAGCAAATAGAAGAGTGTTTTTTTTTATTTTATTTTTTTTATTAAAGAACACTCACCTTAAAGCATTTACAGAGGATAAATTCAATAGTATACTATTTTACACGTATGCCAATTAATGCACATTCCTTCCACATCAGAAGCATTTGCATTAACCACTGTAAGGCCAGTCAGTGGGTAAGAAAATATAGTTGGTATTCTATCACTGCAAGAAGCAGTGGGAGTCTGCTGGTAAACAACTTTACTCCCTGAATGGCATGTACATTAAAGGGACACTATAGGCATCAAAACAACTTTAGCATAATGAAGCAGTTTTGCTGTACAGATCATGGCCCTGCAGTCTACTGCTAAATTCTCTGTCTTTTATGAGTTAAATCAGTTTCATTTCTGTTTATGTAGCCCTAGTCACACTTCCCTGACTGGGACCCATTTACTTTAGATGTTTTTATTCTCCTGCTCTGTAAATTGTACTTTAACAACACACAGGAGGCTTCAGCATTGTATAGGAGGCTATTAACAGAGCAGGAGATACATGCTTAATTAAACATTTGCAATAAAGGAGGTATAAACATTAGATGACTCTTTATAGGAAGTGTTTAGGAAGGCTGTGCAACTTACATGAATAGGGATTCACAATCAAAGTGATTTAACGCAAATGACAGAATCGAGCAGTGAGACTGCAGGGGCATGATCTACACACCAAAACTGCTTATTTAAGTTAACTTTTTTTGAGCCTATAGTGGCCCTTTTCTCCAAAAACTATTATTTTTTTTTTAAATTTGTGTTTATGTTAGAAATCAGTGTTGACTTAAAACAAAAAAGCTCATTGTCTTTTTAAAACCACTATTATTAGCTTATCATAAGAAGTACTGTGTGCCCTACTGTTCTATATCACACTATTCAACAGTCACTATGTGTAGACCAATTTAATTTATTTTTGCTTCTAAACACTACTCTTAATCACTACGCACCCTTTATATTACAAGGTTGTCAAGCATCAAGAACTCTGCGCAAACAGAGCTTGCAATCTATATGTAGAGGAGAGCCTCAGGACCTGAATCTTCCTTCAGTCTAAAAAAAATCTGATATTGAAATGCAGCCCTGATGAAGCAGAGCGTGAAATTCCATTGAGTTCTCAGCTCCAGGGGAGTTGTGGTGACAAGAGCTGCTAAGACATACCGTACGGTGAAACGGCAGAGGGGTGGTGATAGGCAGCGGTGAGACATCTGGCGGAAGGCAAAGTCACAGTGGATGAGAGGTGGGGAAGGAGAGGGAGAAATGTGCAGGAAGGATCCTGCAGAGCACAAACGACACACAGTGGAAGTGACAGGCTGAGTAAAAGAGGAAAGGAAGGTTGCGACACTACCCTAGTCTTCGATTATTAGCTTCTTGGTCCAGCAATCTGGAGTGCAAAGTGGGACACATCTGCTACAGACACCATGCATGACTCATTATTCAAGTGTAAGAAATATAAATCCCTACATAAAAAAACAAAAAAACAAAAACAAACTAGTTTTCTTTAATTTTTTAACAGTCAAAAACAAGAGAATATATTGCTTCCTGAATGTTGGGGTCTTGGATTTAGCCTTAGATTGTTTAGTGGCATAGCACTCTTAAAATTTGAGTTGTTTATGTTGTTAGGGAACCAACATAACTATGATCCAAATAACTAGATTACCACCCTTTACTAAAATTGAATCACTGTTAATTTATGCCAGCACATGACCAAGTGAAAAGTTTAACCCCTTATGGACCCATTATCAAAATCTGGTAATTTCTATTAATTTCCTAAATGGGAACAAACCACTTGTTTAGTAACAGTAGGGCTGTTAAATAAGGAGCAAATTCCATTAAGGAAGGTGGTCTTTATAAACCTCAACAGTCAAGGGACAAATATAGCATTTGTTAGAAAGGACACAGTGATCAGTGTTTAGTTGAAGTAAGATATCCAAAAGTAAACATTGAATGCAACTTTCAATCTCTTTATGCTGATCCCGCGAGTCCTATCTCTCAGCAGGTACCTCACTGCTTAGCACGTCTACAATCTCTCTACAGGAGTGAGATAACACTGTCTCAGTTTTGGATCCCCGGAGATGCAGAGAGGGGCTGGGGAATTTACACCTGTGATCTTGCAACTGTGTCAGCACTAGGTAAAGACAAACAGCTATATTAGACAGAGGGAGACTGGCTAACCAGGCTAAATGTCAGCGCAACAGGCACAGCAGGACTGTGCGCACATAAAGGGCTTTAAATAAACACAAGACCACTGATTTATATACAACAGTAGACACATCCCACATTTTGCATACATGCAGAATTAAAAATCAATTAAAACAAAAAAACTAATTCAAGCAACATTGTTCTTCACTGCTCAAGTTTCAAGAGCACTTCATGAAGCATCAGTGTTGCTTTGTTTATAAACACAATAAATCCATCTGTGTGTTACTGATACATACAATATTTTCAGATAGACACACACGAAAGACTTTATATAAGTCGCTTTATATAAATATTTTATGAATAAAAAGAGAAATAACACAATTGACTGGCCAAGCTTGTGGTTTACTGAAAGGGGTAACTCACTGAAAAGAAAATAATAATAATGATGATGATAAAAAAGAAACATGTCGATAGCAGTCTAGGCCCCCAATTCAACATTAGCACACAAACTGTCCAAACATTGCCAGATACTTATACATGTTGGGCAAGCTTACACTAATTATGATATAAACTTAATTATCACACAAAGGCTCTACACCCTTGTCTCTTTTACCCATCTGTCTTATTAATCTATTAGCATGCCCCCAAATAGGTGGTCATTTTCCCTCCAAATGAGTACAATATTCTATGTAAACCGAATGAGGTTGGCCCTAAAAATCTTCATAAACAGACTGCACGGCTATATTCTGCAGCACGGGAACACCCCTCAACTACATCCTATTTGCCATCAATTAACTATTTAATGGCAAAAGGCAAGAGTAGCAACTTAGATGGTTTAAAAAAAACAATGATTATGAGAATGAGTATTTAGAGTACCATGAGGTCTGATATATTTTGAGATAAGATATAAATCACACTGCAACAGATCACAGAGTATACCGTCAAAAAAAATATATCCTCAGCACTGCACCACAAGAAGTTATTTTGAAATACATGTTACTTCTGGGGGACACCCGATGACATGGCATGAAATATCTCTTAGGCAAATGCTGAAAAAGGAAAAGAAAAAAAAAAAAAAGTCTTTCCTATGCACAAGGAATGAAGGGTCATACATGAACATGAATAATTAAATTGACACCCCAAATGCCAACATCAGGTGCACTATGTAGGTACCATTACACTGAGTTATGCTAGATTACTTTTTGTTTGTAAATAATTAGTTATGCCCCACAAAAAAATAAAAATAAAAAAAAATAAAAAAACACCACACTTTCTGCTCCTACCTTCACATTATGTGGAGTTGTACTTCAGCTATTACAACTCCCATAAACACGTCCATAAAAAAATAAAAAAAATAATAAAGGTTGTTGCATTACAAATAAATATTGGTTGACGGGATATATTGGCATTAGTGAAAACACAAATGCATGACACCAAAATTGTTACTTTTTGGAGGCAAAAACAAGTGATTAATCTGTTAATGAATAATAACCCAACAATTAATAACTTGACTTGTTCTCCTATAAGGAGGCGAGAGACAGTTTGTCAAATAATTGTAATGTTCTGCAACAAGAGGGACCTCGAATTCTATTTGTGATCTTTGACAGTGGTTTCACACAGCCCACTCCCCCAGACATCACCATCTGCAGCAGCACGAAGCTGTATCTCCGGTACACAAACACATCTGCCTCTGCCAGTGTCCCCCCACTGTGCTGCCCATCTGGAACAGGTGAGGAGAGTATGAGCATAAGAGAAAGATATGGTGATAGAGGGGGCATGACAATTCTGGGATAGGAGGGTAGTGTTTGGCACTTCCAAGACTAAAGTTGAAAAGATGGAACGTGGCATCGTATTACATCCTGCTAAACGTGTTTGCCAAAACGCCTGTTCAATTACCCTCGTTAGCGGTATTAGTTTTCGGTGTGTATTGCAAATGGATTTCAGCACTTCGGAGACAGGATACTTAGAAATCACAGCTTTACCTGCACCATCTGTTTCTGGGGGTCATGTGAGCATCCTGATCACACTAAACTGCAAAAAAGATGAGAAAACGGGTGTGCGAGCATGCGGAGATGCTGCATTTTTTAAATCAGCAGCCTTCCATACAGAAAATGAAGTGTTTAGGGAGAAATTACAACATGTCTCAAATAGTCCACATCATTATCACCTCAATGAAATACTGTTGTTGAGAGTACAACTGTTTAGAATTTAAAGAACAGGATCCAGATCAATTAAACAATCAAAACATTATTTGAAACAGACAAGAAAAAAAAAAATCTATACTTCAAAATATTTAAAACCAAAATGGAATACTAAATTAGTGACAGTTTTTCCATGTAAATATAGTCATTTTATGAAATATGCAGCGTCTCCCACCACCTTTTTTTTATGTGTAGATTAATTATTCTGAAATACATATAACCATGAAAACATGGTAGACACCACCTGGTTCTGAGAGCCGAGTTAGCAGCAACACAATTATTATAGAAACACGAAAGTAACAAAAAAACCTAAACAAACCCACTCCAGGAACAAGCATAAGTTATAGTCTACTGCTGAAAACCAGTAGATCCAATATTGTACCAAATGTTCTCCAAGTACTTGTGAACTACCAAAACATTAAAGGAACATTCCAATCCCTTAAAAATCTTAGTAAACATATCAAAGCAGAGTTATGGAAGATTACTATAAAATACTAACTGCTTTAACAACAAAGTTATTGGGTGAGAGCTCCGCCTCCTCTGAGTAGAAGGGGCTAATGAGCATGTGTGTCGAGTGCAGCAAGTGTATTAGGCCCTCCCCATAAGAAAACATTGATTCAATGCTTTCCCAAGGGGTTGTTACGGACGCTGGATGTCCTCATGCAGAGCGGACCCAGGAAACGCCTTTAGTGGCTGTACCCACACCACTTCAATGAGCTGAAGTGGTCTGGGTGCCTGTAGCATACCTTTAAGAGACAGTTGATTGTTTCTTAGTAAATATAGTAGACAAAAAAGTTAAATTACAGCTTAACTTTTATTCAAGAATTAAAAGGTCTATGCAAAACCAACAAAAATAACTAAAGAATATGTATGATACCATTGATTCTAAGAGTCCACACAGCCCACAGAGAAATAATACGTTTTAAGTTACTAATAAAGTATCACTTTAAATCAAAATTTGCCACTGTGTGCAGTTGACAATTGTATGATACTTTGACATTCAGCAGAATTTTATCACCATGCATGGACTACTCATAAAATATGGTTCAACAAAAATGAAATAAATCGAAAAGTAAAATTGATCAACAGAGACCCCAGGAGACAGATAATCATGTGTTAAAAAGACAAATCATAACATTAAGTGCCCTAAAACAAACACAACCTGGGATACCTCTTTTGTGCTTTCGAGGGCATTTATCTACTAACTAGTGAATATAGTTAAAATGACTAAAAAAGCCCCTGAACAAAACACGAAGTGGTGGAAACATTTAACTAAGATTCCACTGCAATATTGGAGGAGAACAAAATGAATGTCTATACTCCCAAACTCTGCTGACCACGATCGGAAATATCCAATATTAAAGAGGGGATATCTTTCAAACTTGTCCCGTTCGAGGTGAAGGCATTAGTACTAAGCCTCTGAAGCTGGGACGTTGGCGTTTAGCAAGTCAGTGCACTGGATTTTTTGTTAATTGGCCCAAGCTGCACCCTTATAGTGCATGCATTTGAGTGCAGACATATTGCAATATATTATATATACATACACTATTTCCAGGATTGGAAAATTGTTTAAGAATTGGAAGCACAGGCATAAAATGCAAGAATCAACAATCAATATGATTTGAAGATGATATACATATACAGAAGGCAAAATAAATTAGAACATAGAGTTGGGTGACAGTGTAGTATCTTGAAAGTCTTGTCTACTTGACTTTTCATGATCTGTCCAGTCCTATCAGTTGAGGAGCCAGTGTAATAGTTCCACACAAAATGTGACAAAGAAAATCTAAAAGCCAGAAGTAACCATTTTAGGGTTCATAGCTCACTGGCTCTTGGTATTTGTCCATAATTTCTAATTCACTTACCCGACTCCGCAGATAATCAGCAAGATTTTTACGTGTGAAATTTGCAGCTGCTGTGGGAGATAATTCATAACCTAAACAGAAAAGAAATACTTTTTTTTAAAAAAGGGTTCTATATAAAATTAAAACTCAAAAGGCACAAAACACCCCCAAAAACTTAATTTAAGAAATGTAAAACCAGAATATTTTCACATGATTGTATTGCTTTACCATTTCCTCATTAAAATACTTAAACCCCCAAAGAACCACTATAGTGCCAGGAAAACAAACTAATTTTCCTGGCACTATAGGGTTATTAAGTCCCCCCCCATCCTTGTGGCCCCCCCCTCCCGCTGGGCTGAAGGGGTTAAAACCCCTTCAACCACTTACCTTAATCCAGGGCAGTGCTCCCTTGGTGCTGGTGACCTCTCCTCTCCTGCAGACGTCCGCGCCAAATGCACATGCGCGGCAAGGGTAGCACACACATTCAAACCGCCCATAGGAAAGCATTACTTTCAGCGTCATCTCAGTGTGATTTTCACACTGAGAATCGCAGAAGCTGCCTCTACTGGCTGTCAGGTGGACAACCAATAGAGGCTGGATTAACCCTCAATGAAAACATAGCAGTTTCTTGGAAACTGCTATGTTTTCAACTGCAGGGTTAAAACCAGGGGGACCTGGCACCCAGACCACTTCATTGAGCTATAGTGGTCTGGGTGCCTATAGTGGTCCTTTAAGGATTGCATGCAGATAGGCAGTTTAAGGCATCAATCCCCTATGAATGAACATGAAACATCATGCCTTAAAGCAAAACTCCATTTAATAATTTGTTTTGGTAATCTTTTTAGTAGATATACTATTAAAAAACAAACACATGCACGTTTTTTATGCAGAACCCCCACCCCCCATACTAAAACTTAAATTGCAAAAGCTGCACACCTGCTTATTTCCCCTAGCACAGACTTGGTCACTGAGAGAAAAGACCATTATTAAGTATCCCTATACCAAAGATAATTGGCTATGGATTGTGCAGGCTGCCTAGTGTCAATTACTGTTATTGGCAAGGACAGCATGAAGGCTAGCGGAATGAGAGGGAGATCTCATGCTGTGATCAATCAGCAGAGAGTACACAAGATCCAGCGCACTCACCTATCCACTAAACAGCAACTTCAATGTTGAAAGATTTTATTTGTTTTTTTAAAAACACCTAATCTAGGCAAAAATAATGGGGGTTTAGTTACATTATATGATCATACAGTGCATAAGCCTGCCACAACGTCAATGTACCCCATCTTTGGCAGGTCCTACACTAACATGGGGTACATTGACGTTGTGGCAGGCTTATGCACTGTATGATCATATAATGTAACTAAACCCCCATTATTTTTGCCTAGATTAGGTGTTTTTAAAAAAACAAATAAAATCTTTCAGCATTGAAGTTGCTGTTTAGTGGATAGGTGAGTGCGCTGGATCTTGTGTATTGTATTATTTGGCCCCCAGCAGCACCCCCATTTATGCATGTTAAGGTGAGTGCAGCCAACCCCCTCTAATCAGCAGAGAGTGCTTTTTACTGTCAACGCAGGACAAATCAGTCTGCTGAAGTCAGCAATTCTGTCCGCTGAGGATCTCTAGTTGAGTTAGGGTTTGTATAGGGTTAGGACTGGCATTAGGGTTAGTTAGTGCTAGTGTTGCCTTCTGCTGAAAAGTCAGACCCTCTGTTCTAGAACTTTTACTAGAGTTCGCCAAGATTAGAAATAGTGTCCAAGTTTGGTGACAAACACAAAAATAGTATCACTTTATCAAATAACATCCCAAGAATTTAAGCAACAGCATATCAAAGTTAGGGCATGTTAACATTTGAGAGACTTGGAGTGCCAAATAAAGCAGTAAAAAAAAAAAAGTACAATCCAATATGTACATTGGAAAAAACAAAACATTTTTTTTTACCACTAAATTTATCTAAAATAGCCAAGTGAAACATTTTAAAATTCCCTATAACAAATCGCTCAAAGGCTCTTTTGCAAATGCAATTCTGAACCAAAAACAGGGTGCATTTGAGATTTATTTTTTAAATCATGATTTAAAGTGGTTCTGTCAACCCCCAATGACTATTTCCTCTTGATGCTGGAAAAAGTTAAGTAAAAAAGCTTAAAAAGTTAAGTTAAAGTTAAGTAGAAAAGGTTGTGCATGGCTGGCTGGCTGCCCAAAAGGTCTGCTTAGCACGCTCAGCCAGTGAACGATACTCTGCACAGCCAGGCTTAGCTCAGTATAGGATTCCTACTTCGGAGGAGTCAATAGGCCCCAGGTTGGTTGTCAAACTATTCTTAAATTGTTTGACTACTTACTGTGGGAGGGGTGATTATGGGGTTTGTATTTGGTAAATCAGGGATTAACAAATCTGGGATATGTGAGTCCATTCAGCCCCTGAGGTGACTGGCTGACTGAGATCGGAGGCAGGTAGGGGGCTCAAGAGCGGAGACGGGCAGGCGGCTGGCCAGCTCAGGGAGAGAGGAGGCAGCGAGGGAGCTACAATATTCTTGCTCTGCTCCCTCACACACCCTCCAGTGATGGCGGGAGTTGGAATATATTACTACTCCAGGGCCAGCATCACTAAACAGCGCTCTAGGCAGCAGAGCAAGAAGATGGTTAGAGCAGCCCCACTAGATCCCAAGGAAATCTGATCCACTCCAGTTCTCCCAACAGTAGGGACAAAAAAGGTAGAGTAATTAAAATAAAACAGAACAATAATTTGCGAGTGTATGTTAAAATGCATGTGAATGTTGCAGGATCCATCTGTCAGTTTAGGTGATCTGCTTGCAGTCACACAGTAGAGATATTTTTACTCCTATTTTTCCCCACGCCGTGAAGGTCTCGTGGCAGCTAGCTTAAGCTCCATGGCTGAGATAATCAGTCCTAACGGTCTCAGCCAATCCAATGCTTTCCCATGGGAGACTATTGCACATGCGCAGCAAAACACCACGGTGTGCCAATGAGCATTTCCTCACAGAGACACATTGAATCAATGCATCTCTATAGGGAAAATTCAGCGCCTCCATGCAGAGCATCGAGATGATGAACGTATGTGCTGCACACAGTGCAGCACTGGCCCAAGACACCACTAGTGACAGTCACTCAGATGATTACTAGAGGTGCGTTATTAAGCAGCAACATAAACACTGCCTTTTACACTGAAAAGCGTGCAGGGACATGCTATAGACTTCAGAACAACTACACTAAGCTGTAGTGGTTCTGGTGACTATAGTGTCCCTTTAAAAATTATATATTTGATGCTGAAACACCTGGCTCCACACTTTTTTAGCTGGCTCGTAGATTCCACGCAAATTTGTCAAGCCCTGAGTTAAATAATGAAGAAGAGGAGGAAAAAAAAATAACATAAAAATCAACATTTTGTTTATATGTAATATAGAGTATCAATAACCAATACTTTGTTATTATTTCTTGAAGGAGGAATAGGAAACTTAGCAGGTTGCAGTCACTGCAAATAAGCAATTAACACTCTAAGTAAGACCTGTTACACCACAACCTGAAAGGGGTTGTTAGGAACTGTAATGACAGAAGTTACAATACAAATCTATAAACATCAAAGATGGACTAAAATAAAGGCATTACAACACAATAACAGGAAAAACTATACGAAGAGAGAAATAAAACATACCATTTCTCATCTTGTACAACTGAACATTCTTTTGAATGTACTCTGCAAACTGCACTGTGTCTCCAGCTTCCCCCACACAGAGGAGCAGAATCTTTTCACTCATCTTAAACATTTTGTCAGCATCTGAAAAATAAAATGACATAAAAGTTTTTAGGACCAACCCATAAGTACAAATTCCACATGAGCTGTGCATATTAACAAAGTAGCCTACTCTACAAAGAGGACTTTTAACAGACATCTAGTGTGTGTATCATAAATATCACCTGTTGTAGCCTAGCTACATTCAGTATAGTTAAATCACACATTTAAGCAAGACTAGATTGCACACAGACAGAAACCAACCAGTTTATACCAAAACATGATCACGTGGACTATATATGACAGAGGAATCACTGCTTTACAAACTCGTTACCTGTGTAATATTAGCAGTATAGTGTCTTGAATGAGCGATCAAACAAGGACCTAAAACATTCACCTGTAAAGCACATAAGGCTGAAAGATATTTATGGGAGTTGAAATCAAGACACCTCTCTGGAACACCCAATAAATGTACTTTTATTCTCAATATTCTTACATGAATCCAAAAACTACTTTCATATGTATTAATCAATATATCAATGTATCAATTTCAAGTGTGTTCTTTGGAGAATTCAGAACATTATAACTGAGTGTTTTCCAAAGAAAAACGTACCATAGCATTCAGGGATCTGACAAAAAAAAAAAAAGTTAAATAAAAAAAATGAAAATAAATCAAAAGGCAAACAAATCAGGGAGGGGTTTAACTGGTAAAAGATTACAGAGTAAATGAGGAAGAGTAGAAGACTTGATCTGATGCTTTCACTTTCACTTTTAAGTAACACCATGATGTGACAATTCTTATATGACTTGTTTACAGCTACAAAAAGGCCAAGTTAAATGTAATCTTTTAGCTAAAATCTACATAAGTTTACATTGTAACAAACATCAATTTATATGTAAGGCTTCCTTCTTTGCTACCTTTTCGGAAAGAGACACTATAGTCACCAGAGCAACTACAGCTTATTGCATGTGTTCTGGTGAGTAGAATCATTACCTTCAAGTTTTTTGCTGTAAACAATGTCTTTTCAGTGAAAATGCAGAGTTTACATTACAGCCTAGTGATAACTTCACCGGCCACTCCAGGAGATCCTTCCTGGGTCATGGCTGCCTAAAATTCATCCAAACATTCAGTGTCTCCTCCATCTGCATGCAGAGACTGAACTTTCCTAATAGAGATTCATTGATTCAATTCATCTCTATAAGGAGATGCTGATTTGTCAGGGCTGTGTTTGACTCATCCTGGTTCTGCCCCTGATCTGCCTCCTTGTCAGTCACAGCTAATCCTATGGAGAAGCATTGTGATTGGATCAGGCAACCACTTCTGCTGATGCCACCAGACTGCTTGTTTTTCTGAGTCTAACAGCATGCAGAGTTACGGCTTCAATACAGTAAGATTTTTACTATATTTATGGAGGCATGAGTGGCCCAGGTGGGCTAGATGGTGGTTTTAACACTATAGGGTCAGGAATACATGTTTGTGTTCCTGACCCTATAGTGATCCTTTAACTCTTCAACATGAAGCCTTGGTTAAAAATTGGCTGTAAAACTTTTTTGCATACGTAAACTTAATCAGGAAGTCTATTACACTTTTTTACTTGTATGAAGGAATGACAAATTGAAAAATTAAAAAGGTTTTAAAACAATAAACGGGATATATGTCAAAGTACTGTATTACGTAAAACTATACATTGAATGTTTCTTTAGCTAGATAAATTTTGTTCCTACAGTTTCCTAGTAACTGGAGAGTCTAATTTATAGGTAAACCAGTATACCATAGGTCTGCAGTTGTCTACTGTACATTTCTATTTAGGTTGCTATGGGGCCCATTTCTGTTAAGTTTTATGCTGCCTGGATATTCTGGATTCCCTCTAACCATAATAACCACCACTACAGAATGCTGTACTGGTTATGGTACCAATAGTACCCCAGCAATCCCCACTGTAAGTAGTCAAGCCATTTTAAAACAGTTTGACTTCTTACCTGCAATTCGCAGAGTGCTGGATCCTTCCTCGACTAACACAGCACGAGAAAAGTAAGCTCCTGCTTTGAAGTCCAGTGGACCCAAGTAAGAAGCCAGAATGAGGGTACATCTGGCACTTACTAAAAGCAAGATTGTGCCATCACCTCCAGGCACCAAAAACACTTCAATCAAATGAAGTTGCCATGATTCCTGGAATGCTAATAAATAAACAATAGACCCCCTATGAAAGATGATCTTTGCACAAAGTAACAACAATTCTCTAAAACCATTTTTGCTTGACTTCTAAGTATTTGGCTAACTGAAACTTGGCCTTCTACTTTTAGCTTAAAATTATGTAGCCCATGAATTAACATATTTTCACAACTAGATGATGCCTAGAAGATCACTACAATTTGTATTATCTGTCAGCATATATTCACTCATGTGGTATGGTTTGGGTCGGAAGGGTTAGAATGGTCTAGCTTATTTAGGGGAGCCTAGTGTGTCATTTGTCGTGAGCATTGACGTTTTCCTGTTCGCCAATCAATGGGTTGTATAGTGTGACGCCAGTAGCTCCACCCTAACTGTACTGTTTCCTATGGACCTACTACTGAAGGGGAACCAGGAATGGTGCGGTTTGGTTCGGTTGTATTGCCCACTTTCATAATGGAAACACTCAAAATAGCGTACCAGACCGTACCGCTCAGTGGAAACGGGGCAAGTGGGGATTTCATTGTCCCCCAGAAATCTATAAGGCAACAAAACCTCTCATAACACTGCACATACGTCATGATACTGCATTTTGGGATTAAATGGCACGTATTGCCGATGTGTACGTATTTCAAAGCTGCCATTACTGAAGTTTGTATTGTATAAGGACACTTAAGAAGCCAGTTAAAAAAAAGTAAATAAACGTTCAGGTATGTTTTTGCTAGCACACGGCATACATTATATCTATACAATAAGGTCTATGAGGCAACACCATGCCATGTTTGCTTCTGCATGACAGGTAGATTTTAGTACTATAGATGCCTATTACTCATCGAATAGCCTTGGTGTAATCCCGCTTTGAATATGTACAAAAAAAATGATATACAGGGAGCACTCACAGGTCTCAAAATATAAATGGTGTTTTTAATTCGGACCCTATATTTCATTTTTTTTATACAAATATTATATATATATTTTATCTCTATTAGAGTGCATATATTATATATATTATCTATATTAGTGTGCATATATACAGTATATCTATGTATCCTAAGTCCTCCTCTGGTCCCCAGCAGCGTGCATTGTGTATGAGCGTCACTGTAGTGTCTGGCAGTGTCTGATGAAGTCCCAGCACACACGGTGTGGCCGGTTCCCGCTCACCATGCTTCATCTGGATGATGCTATTCGCGCACACCGTGTCGGCCGCCACCAGCACGTAGTCCGAGCCCTGGATCCCGATCAGATACTCCATTCAGTCGGCTTGGTCTGCGCTTCAGCACTCGGTTCCTCGTTGCGGCCTGTGGACGTTACACAGCAAATCACCTACAGGAACACCGGCAGTGACGCTCTGACGTCATCACACTCCGACGGCGCGGCAGGGTTGACGGGAAATGTAGTCTTTACAGGAAACAGCGAGCCGAGCACGTTGTAGCACAGAGCGTGCATGGCGCTGGTGGCGGGCGCTGGTGGCGGGCGCTGGTGGCGGGCGCTGGGGGGGGGGGGCTCTTACACCCAGTGTTATAACCCAGGGTAACAGGAGAGTCTATTAGCTATGGCTAGGCCAGGCGTGTTAAAATACGGTCACAGCTCATTTGTGACTTTTCATTTAAACTATATTTTAATCTAGAGGGCAGCCTGGGCGCCATGACCTGCACAGCCTGGCTCTCATACCAGCATGGCAAATGGACAAAGGGGGATACGTTAATTTGAGGGGTGTGAGGTGGAGTTAGGGCTGATAGGAGACATTTTAGGTGGACCTAGTAGTTTTTTCAGCTGAAGTGTAGTTTATAATAAGAACAATGTGTCTTTAATTTAAAACAAGAACACTGTGCCTTAGTTACACAGACTGATTTCCAAACACGCGTATTGCATTTTAAGTCACGTTACTGTGAGTCTTATTGCTGTGAAGGTTTGTTATACGCTCAGACACACCAACAATATAGGGGTCCTAACAAACCCAGCTCTAAATAGGGCCATTTGGGAGGTTTGTTATCTACTGAAGTGAGAATTAAAAAAAAAAATAAAATGTAAGGCCAAATAGCTGACCTGGAAGCATATATGAGTTATGATTGAAATGTATGGCTAGTACAGTCCTGATTTGTGGATCCAGTCCTGCCGCCCTACTTCAGTCTTTAGCTCCCTGAAGTCCCTAGATGTGGATTTGTCATCAGGCAGCACAGCAAAAGTGTATCTTTAGATGCGGCCAACTGTGCAGCGAGCACTAGGACCATGCAGGGAGAGCTTAAGCAGTGCTTCCTGCCTGGTACCAAAGGCTAGGGGCCAGATAACCTGTCACTGGTAATGCCCGCTAAGGTCCATACCCACCTCATCCTGATTCTATATCTCCCATTGTTTGGAGGTATGCTTTATTGACTAACCCAGTTTATGTGTACTCTGCAGTGTCTTATTCTGGGTTTCAAAGACTGATATTATGCCATAAACGCTTGTTCAGCAGAAACTTAAGGGTTTAAGTAGTTTATCCCCACCCAATTTAGCAGAGCCGAGTCACCTGTGGTGAGAGGGGTAGCCCGTTAGGGTAAATGCCCAATAGGGCTTTCTATTAACTGTAAAAAGAAACCTTTTATAGGGATGTAGATAAGTACAGAGATCCTCACAAATTATATAAATGTCTATCCCTCAATGTGCCTTAGAGGGCACCTCAACCAAACTGCCGTTATCAGCAATTACTATACTGAGTTAATAGTCCCTATACAGAGAAAGCGTAGTTCAACACTAGCAGTGACAAAGATAGTTTGTTTTTTTTGTGATAAGAGGACACTTAAAAAAAAACCAAAAAAAAACACCTTTTATATATATATATATATATATATATATATATATAGTTATTGAGTAATTTAACAAATATTAAATGCAAGTGGGGGAAACAGAGGCATATACAGAGGGACACAAGTGGGAGAAATTGGGGTAAATGTGGAATGATGAAAGTGGGAGTGTAATACAGCAGAGGGACAAGTGGGGGGGGGGCGGTATGATGAGAGAGATAAAATACTTGTGTGAGATGGAGAGGTATAGAAAGAGGTAGATGTGGAGAAGTGCACTAGTGGCACACATCTTTATCACATGGTCATTCTGCACATATGCTTCCACACATGTACATGCCAACCCTCCACACAAATGTATACCTACATTCGTACACACTCGGTGATTCACTAATGTCCACATTATAGTGAACTGAAATTCACATGACAAAATGAAAGCTGAAAAAGCCAAGCTGTGACAGTTTAGTCAATAAATCCCACTGTGAAAAAGAGAGCAATATTAAATTAAGTTATATTGCTCCTCCCTAGATTCAGTTCTGGATGCCCTCTTGGGTTTTACAAGCCCAGTACTCTGATACTTGGATATACCTGCATAAAAGCCTGGTGGTGGTTTGAAAGTACATAGCTTTGGGACTGGAAGTAGAATGTCTGGTCCTTGTGCTTTCACTGCCAGTTTTTAATATTTCTTCATGGTAGATGCTTCTTTCAAATAGTTTTAATTGAACATTTTTTTTTTATAATGTTCAATAAAAAATGGAACATATTAAAAAAAATTAAACCCGAAAAGCCCCTGAAAACCGGGGCATAATGATACAGTATAATTATCTGGTAAACGGAAATATAGTAATAAAATAAGTTACTTATCATAGTGCAACATAACTTCGAATGTCACATCTTAAATATCCATACCTGGTCAGGTGGGGTCACGTATGTAAGTTATATTTTTGTCTGACATCTTTTTCCTAACTATCCCAGTCATACAGTAGAAAATTGCGTGTGTCAGATGGTGGTCTAAGTGTGATTTCACATCTCATTTTCGAACAATAGATTAAGAACTTCTCTAATTTCTTTAATTGTAGCTTTTGTAGATGAAAACATATTGCTACGCGTGGTCTTTGAGGTGAAGGCAGCCATAATATTTCCTTAATAAGGTAGAAAAATCTTAACAGCCTCCATCTTAAGCCATTGAGGGCATTCAGTGTCAAGATTAAATTTAAATGCAGCATTGGTGGCGTGGAAGTATTGAATCAAGTCTGGCAAACCCATACCTCCACTAATCCTGGGCTTTTGTAGTATAGCTAATTTTATTCAGCTCAGTTTTTTTATTCCAGGTGAACTTCAAAAGGGCAGAAGGAACCTTCATAAAAAATTACAGTGCAATCCCGAGGGGGATAGCTGTAATAAAATATAACATTTTTGGGAGTACATTTGTTTTAATTAAATTTAGTCAACCTATCCAGGAGCTTTCGAGATCACACCACCACTTACCCAAGTTACAATCATACATCTTAGACAGTGTCCCTCCAGTCAAATTTGAAATTATTTTTTAGAGTGTCCAATTTGAACCGTGGGACACAGAAAGCAAGGGCTTGAGTTTTACCAGTGTGTAGCTTATAATACGTAATTTTGCCAAATTCCTGCAGGATTGACATTAGAGGCGAAATCTAGAACATCGGATCTCTCAAAGACTGCATAATGTCATCTGTGAAGAGACCAATCTTATGTTCTTTACCCCCAACTGCAAAAGCTTCTATCGCCGTACAGTTGCGTATCATTTTGGCCAAGGGTTCCATTGCATGCACGAAAAGGAGTGGTGACAACGGATACCCTTGTCTGGTTCCATTCGACAATGCAAACCTATCAAAACTATTGGAGAACAATAAAGAGCAAACACTAAATTGCGACATAACCTCCCTTAAAAAGTCCAAATTCATTCTATCAAATGCCTTCTCTGCATCTAGAGAGAGGAGCAGGGAAGGTGTTCTGTTATGCTTAATTTGATGAATTAATGTAATGTATCTCTTTGTGCTGTCCGGGGCCTGACGGTTTAAGACAAAGTCCACCTAGTCTTTATTAATAAAGGGAGAATTTGAGAATCTGAGAGACAATATTTTTGAGTAAATGTTTGACAAATTTTGTCTGATGTGGGCTGAGTTTTATATTAGGGTCTAAAGCCAAATTGTATAATTTCTTTGTAGTAATTTGCGAACATATTACTAATGTTAACGGGATGGGTAATTTTTACGCCTTCATCATTTAATATATGTTCTGGACTGTGACATTTTATATTGCAACTTAGAGGCAAATAATGATGAGGCCTTATTTCCTTGCGAATAAAAGACTTGTTTCAGTCTCTTCAACATCAGAGCAGTATATTCCAACCGCAATGTATTAAAGATTCTCTTTACCCTCAGAAATCTTTGCAGCTAAGGATAAAGAAGGCTCAAATTTATTTGCCAGATTCAATTTATATAATTTTTCTCTTTCAAATTTTTGGATTTAATTTTCTTCAGGAATGATGCCCTCTAAATGAAATGTATTCTTAATACCGATTTTATGGGCCATCCATAGTGACGTAGTATTCAAGTTTGGGGTCAAATTTACCTGAAAATAATCAAATTTATTTTCAGCAAGCGCCTTGTTTTCTGGATCATTAACCAGATAATCATTAAGTCTCCACTATCTGTCTGGAGATGACTGAACAGACTCCTCCAATTGTAGAGCAATCGGGGCAGGATCTGACCAGTTAATGTCTAAAATAGCAGAAGCTATCACAGAGGGAATTGTATGTTCACCTGTCGTGTTAAAAAACGGCCTCCAGAATCAATAAGCATGTCAGACTTTTGTTTCTTTACCTCCTTGAACAGCAAACGTCTCTTATGTAGTGTATTAAGGCCCCTTACATTATGAGAGTAAAATTTTAGAACCATTTGCTAAGCTTTAATGGTTCGTAATCAGATATAGTAAATAGCGACATGTGAGAGACCCCAACACACCAAAAATCACAAGACAGAGGTCACCCAAGGAGCAGACAGTATACATGCCCCACTTGACTTTGAGTAAAATTGCACCAATTAAATAAACCGTAACAATACGCCTAAATTAACCCACACAGTTCAAAATGATAATCCAGTTAACAGATATGCATAAGTATTCATTAACAGAAAAAAAACAAGGAGAAAAAACATGGATCAAAAGTCCCTTAAGGAACAAAAAAATTTAAATTAAAATCAGAAAAACGAAATGAAAACATAGAAAGTATAAAATATATACAGTCGGTAATGTCTCGAGTGAAATTAAAAAATATCCCATCTTCAAAAATATACAGGACTATTAGAGGGAGAGCGAGTAGGGACACTAGGAAAATTCATATATTTAAAATAAAGTATTAAGGTAAAAGAAAAGAAAATAATTCAATAAAAAAACAAAAAGGAAAAATTAAAGAAGGATATTTCGGGAGCTAAAACAAAAACCTAAAAAAGGGAAAAATTGCAAAAACAGTCTAAAGTTGTATAAACCGGACTGGATCTTGAGGACATCACTGTGGCATCATGTCTATCCTCCTTATCTCTGTGGTGTCCTAGTAGATGTTTCTGGCACAGTT